GTATGGAAAAAGAGACAAAAGTAAGCTGTACTTGCTGATCGTGCATGAGAGACCCCATCAACATCGATCCTAGCTACCCTAACTGCGAGATTTCTTACGACGCACCGGTTGGATTTCAAGATGCCTCATACAAAAAGTGGTCGCGGGGACGCGTTCTGCAACCTGACCGAGTTTCAGCTCGATCCGAGCACCTTCTTGCAAATCCACCGCGGTAAATCCACCGCGGTCGAGCCCTAACTTACCCGGAGAAGGTTTTGTGTGCACCGCGGTCGCGGTGCATTTGGGTCTTTTGGTTAGGATAATAAATCCCTCCATTTGTTGCTCGAATGCGATTGTTTTGGATGGCTCGAGCACGCAAAGCCACCTGGCGCGGCAGTGCAGACTGAGGTGACCAATAATGTTGTAACGTGGGGCGTTCTTGGTGTGTAATCAGCTGGACTGCTCTACGTGGCAGCCTTGTAGCCAACCCCGCATGCTCGGTAATGGCTGTGCAACGTCAGCTCTTATCCTGCAAATATTCCTGCATATAGTGTCCAACGATGTTAGCAGGGACTACGACATGCTTTCACTCGTCTTTCGAACCATCTCGCTCCCACTGCTCGACTGGCCCATCATGGGGCGAAAGCGACACTTCCTCGTCGACGTGCAGCAGAATATGCAAGGCTGAATCCTTCCGCTGATGTATAACATGCGCCGTGTCAGCCTCGCTTTTTAGTCGTGCGCTGTCAACAGACTTGAGCCTGAGCCTTGCGCTCATGAGACAGCTAAGTAGCACTGCTTCTAGCTCGTATATGCATGCATTCATTTGTGGAGCGGACGGTGTAGCATCATAGGTGCACTGACTATCGGGTTCTATCAGTGGTTCGAAGGATTCCTGTTTGAGTCAAACAAATGGCCAGGCGGCTGAGACTATGATTCTGTATATGAAGTGGGATGGACACACGCCGTTCTTTCGTTAGCAAACTCACCACTCTTTGTCTACAAGTCCACTTCAACTGGTAGATATGGCGGACATCGTGTTTGAATTTGGTATTGGAGACTCATTCTTCTTTGACAGCCCAAAGGCGTGGGAGTGGTATGCCGCCAGATTCAAGAAAAGAGCACGGTTCAAGTTAAGCTTATCACTGCATAGGAAAAATCTACCTTCCGAGTTCGATCCAAACTTTAGAGACTCACGGGGCTCTCTCCAGGCTAGAAACGTCTATTGGACGGCTCTTGGGGCTGACGGCCAGTACGCCTCTGCGTTTCGTCGGAAAGACGGAAGCAATTGGTTTGGTAAGTCAGCACATTAGCTACTAGGTAGAGCTCATGAGACGATACTCATCCTTGTTATATTTAGTCTGGAGCGGAGACTCTATGAAACAAATCTTCGGGAACTTGAGTTTACGTAATCCTGAAAATTATCGAGTTGCACTCGGCCCGGGATCAAGCTACTTCGTCATGACGCCAGACAAGTACTACTGGAATAATATCCACGATGACCTGAAGGGCTTCATAAACGACGGAGACCAAAGCAGGATTGCCGAGGTATCATTAGGTCAAAATAACTACTTCTTCGCACGGAAGGAAAATGGTGCATGGAAGTACCTTGTGAAGAGGGACTCTGAACTCCACAAGCTGTTGCAAGCAAGAGCCAATGACATCGCAGTAAGCATTCTCTTCATTAAAAAGAACAAAATTCGTGCTGACACTACTCACAGCGCGTATCCCTTAGCCCTGACAGCGATCATTGCTTCGTTGTCTTCAAAACCGGATCCTGCCGGTTCTGGGTTCCCAAATCGTGGGAATCTAAGATATGGGAGGTGGTCAGAAAAGCAGGCATCAGCCTCGACCACAGCTCCACCAGTGGTTATTCCTCGGGGACAAACACCAACTATCGGAGCAATGCCGTCATAGGAAGGCAAGATCCGAAGAAGACGTTCGGAAGCTTGCAGGAAGTAAGCAGCCTGATCAGTATTGGGGCATCGGTTGCAGGGATTATTTCTTCCTTGTCATGTACCGTCATGTAACCTGGACTCTCTTTGGGTCGTTTGGAATTCTGTTCGGAAGTGTGTCTACAGTTTTCGGTTAGTGTGCTACAGAGCGAAACTGGCGTGTAGCTGGTTAAAATCCAGAGAGGAAGAGAATCGCATGACAATACGTATCTTTTTGGACAGTTGTGGGAGGGACATGCAGAACGTAAAGTCATGGAAGTAGTAGTTGGCGCCGCGATGGAGACGGATGTAGTGTTACGGCACAGCCTCCACCGGGGTAAGAAACATCAGAATAAGGGAAGAAGTGGGGTGCACTCGCACGACGTGAAAAGGACCTACGTGAGTCACGTGGCTCACGTGACGCCAAGAAGGTGCTCTGCCTGCTCTCACTCCAGGTGGCCCGAGCCACCACAGAGCACCCAGATCAAATAAACCTGCTCTCTCTGCTCTGTGGCAAAACCCGCCAAGAACAACAGAGCATACAGAGCAGTATACCAGATTGTTAACTTTCCTACGTGTATATAAACCACACTCCTTAGATAGCTTTGACCTTCGTGGTCAACTTCAACAATAGAATTCGGACTCTATTGGTAACAAGGCCTTCGCACACGCAGTGCTCAGTCGCATCTTACTCGCTTCGTTCCCAACCCTCTTCTTTACCCACTCAAGGAAGCCCCTTCGGCAGGTTTCCCCTCTTTGGTGTTTGGATCTTTAAAGGCAGAGGCCCGTCGTTAGACCTGCGCCGTAACACTTAGCTTTTTTATTATTTGCTGTCAATTTTTCTTTGTGTTTTACTTTATTTTTTAAAGTATATTTCCGAATTTTTCTTCTTTTTCTCTCTTCCTTTATTTTTGTTTAATTCATCTGTTTTCCTTCTAAATCTCCCCTTCAAAGGAATTCTCTAGCTATTATTCTTACTAACTCTACTCTGTCGTTCTATTACACCTTCTTTCTACTTTTTAACTTCCCTGTAATCTATAAAAATTCCTACACTAAGTTGTTACTCTCGTTCTCTACCGCATCTCGCCTTCCACCCAAATACCCAACCATCCTCTCCTCCCCTTCCCCCCCCCGTCCGCATCTACCCCCCTCTCACCCAACCGCTGCAACCACCTCTTTTAAACCTTCTCGTACCTGTACTTAATCCGGTACAATGCCCCGAACAAAACCCCTTTAAACTGACAACCCTGCCCCGTCCGCCGCCAACCCTCGCTGTCGTTACTCTCCCAACCCCTGCATACCCTCTGCGGCAACCCGCATCCAAAACACCCCGAATACCGATTGTATTTGACTGTTCGCTGTCTCCGTCGTCTGTCCTCCTCTGCCAGCCGTCCCTGCTCCGCTATACACTGACCAACTTCATGCTCTGCTTCTCTGCCTGCCGCCTTGCAAACCCCACACACACCCTTCCATCGCCGCAACTGCCACTCCAGCATCTCCACCTCTAAATGCTCATCCTCAGCCCGTCCCATCCTCCTTATATGCGGCCGTGCCCGCTGCTGCTCCTGTTCGCCGAACACTGTCCCCAGCCGCTCTCTTTCCCTTTGCTCCTCCCTCCTTTTTCTTTCCCTCTACTCCCTTCTACGCTCTGCCTCTAATTCTGCTACCGTGTTCACCACCACATTCGCCAACCCCTCTACTACTTCTTCTACTTCTACTTCGACTTCGACTTCTACTACCACTCCCCCCCTCTCTACTCGCTCTCTCTCCTCGCACCCTACCCTTCCACTCCTTCCATCAAAACCCTCGTCCATGATTATGCGCCGGTACTGCTTGCTCGCTAGATCCGTATACCGTCCGACCAGCTCGTCCTCTATCCCCGCATCTGCATCCGCTCCTACCTTACTACCTCCCCCTCTCACTACTACCGCCTCACTCCTACTACCGTCTCTCCCCGCCCTGCCGCTCTTCTGTCCGTAATCTATTATGCTGCGCGGCTTTCCCGCGTGTACGATCAACCTGACTCCCGGAATGTCGATCCCCATCCCCAGCGCGCTCGTCGCAACCACCACCCGCTTCCTGCCTACCCGGAAATCTTCCAACACCTCGTCCTTTCGCTGCTCGCTCATGTCCGCCCGGAACTCCTCGCACACGAACCGGCCCGCCCTCACCAGCCGGCTGACTTCTGCCCTCGTCTTGCAGTAAATAACCACCTTGCCCTCCACCGATACCGTCAACTCCCGCTCCACGAACTCCGCCACCATATCCTTCTGCTCCCTCCTACTACTCCCCTTCCTTCCAACTACCCCATACCGCACGTTCTTCCGCGCCGTCGATCTCCTAAACAACTTCACCTCTTCCGCCATCCATCCCATCTTCTTGTTAAATCTGCCTTCTTCCGCCGGCGGCATCGTTGCTGTCAACAACACCATCTGCGTCTCCACCCCCACCAACTTACCCAACTGTTGCAAATGCTTCCGGAAATCTACCCGATCGTTCAACACGACGTGACACTCGTCCACCACGATACGGTCCAACTGCATCGTCCGCCTGATCCGCCTCAAAAACGTTCTAAACTCCTCGCCCACCGCCGCCTCCGGTGTTACTAGCACGATCGACTCCACATCCGGCTGCCGCCTGCCGTCCCATACCGCGCACCGTACTCCCGCCTCGTCGCACCATCGCTTCATGTCCTTCCACAGCGACTTCAGCGGCACCACCACCATCGTCGTCCCACCCGGCTCTGCCCATGCCGGCAGCGTGAACAGCACGCTTTTGCCTGCCCCCGTCGGCATCACCGCCACCACGGGGCTGTGCCCGGCCTTGATCGCATCCAACGCCGGCTCCTGCACGCTGCGGAAAATCGCCTCCTTGCCCACGAGCTGCTTCAGCCGTTCCTCGCCGTTCATCTTGTTCAGCCGGATCCAGCGGTCTAGCCGCTCCTCTTCTGCCTCGTCCTCGAACGGGCACCGTCTCCGCTTCTTGCTTGCCTTGCTTGCCCTTCTTCCATCTGCCCTACCGCCTGCCTTCCCATCCTGCCCGCCTTGTCCGTCTCGTTCGTCTCGTTCGTCCCGTTCGTTTCATTCGTTTCGTTCGTTTCGTTTGTTCCGCTTATTCCGCTCGTCCGCCTCCTGAGTTGATTCGAATCCCAAAAATCGGAGCCAATCAATACTGTATGCCCGAAACTTCTCCCTCCGCTCCGCCACCCAGCCCAGCTGCTCCATAATCCCCCTCGCGTACACGATTCCCGCCACGTGCAACGTATATCCCACCTACGCATCCGCGATCGCCGCGCCGTCCTCATCCTGCAGCTGCTCACCGTCGTCCGCCTCTCCGTCATCCTGCCTGAACGCAGTCGGCCCACGAATCCACTGCCTGCTGATCGCTATCGCGATGTCGCGGTACGCCTGCACGGTAATCTCGTGCCCCAGCCCCGCCGCCGTCTCCCGCTGCCTCATGCGCTCCGTCGTCCACTTCTTGCCCCCGGGCTCGGGCGCCCACAAATGCGCGGATGACGGCGGCGACTGTTGCTGCTGTTGCCCCTCCTGCCCCTGCTGCCTGCTCCGCACCAACACCTCTATCCTCTGCTGAAACGGCAAAACCAACTATAAATACCACATCAGCAACTCGCTTACCTCCCGCAGCAAGTATCGATGAATACTCTTGACGTCTCCCTGCAACGCATACCCCTTGTGATACCGCATCACGAACACGACCATGCCGTCCTCGATGAAAATGTGCCGGTGCCCGACCTCGGCCGTGTTGCTGTGCCTGATGCTCAGTATCTCCGGCCCTCTTGTCGGCTGCCTGCCCGTGATGTGCATCAACACCAAATGCTTCTCCTTGAACGCCGCCACCCGGTCCATCCAGTCCGCCACCGCCTTACGGCTCAACCCGAATACCGTCCTCTGCCGCGTGAACCGCCTTTTGACCGCGCCGTCCTGTATGATCCGCTCGAACAATTACGTCTGCCTGGCTACGGGGAACCTATTGCGCTGATCTTGTAAAAAATTCCCCCCTCAGCGGCTGTTCGTCGGGTCGTCGTGCATCGAATTCTACGGAATCACGGGCGCTTTCTGCCGGCTCTTGTAAAATACTAAATCCTTAAGCAGGACCTCGGCCGTCGCCTGCATTAGTCTGTGCACCGTCCCACGAAACTGTGCCATGCTGAACGACATATTTTCGTACTCTAACACCTCTCTGTTTCTCTATCCAACGTGCCCCTTCGCCGTCGTGTTAAAGTAAATCTTTATCCCGTACGTCCGCAAGTCTAAAAACCACTGCATTGGGCTGCCGCTACCGCGGACTATGAAATCGTCTATTACCTTGTTGACCCACTGTAAACTACTTCTGCCGGGGCGCCTGATGCGGTTGCTGCGACCGTCGGTGCTGCCACTCCTACCGTCACTCCTACTGCTGCCCCTGCTACTATCTCCCCCGCTTTCGAACCTGCTGTCGTCGAAATTGCACGGCCTCGCACTGGCGCTGAAATGCCCGTCCTCGTCCACCGGAATACCGTGATACATGCCGGCTTGTGAAGATTCGCTGACAGTGCACGCCCTTTGCCCTCTCTTGAAACCGTCTCTCGACCCGTTCGTCCTTGATCTTGCCTGACCCGCCCTTTCGGCCGTCGGCCGACTACTGATGCTCCTTCCACCAATGCCTCTTCATCGCCACCTTATTCCAGCAAACGTACCGGCACCTGTCTAGCTGCAGCCTGTACAGCAGCCCGTCTGCGTACAGCGGTACCTCCGCGATCGGTCCGTCGACCTGTGCCGGCACCTCGAACTCGCCTGCATACCTGATTAAGCCGGGCCATCCTCTTACCTCTTCAGCAATCGCCTCCTCTCTGCCTCTGCTCAGCCTGTGATGCCTGCTCTGTGAATGGCCATCTACTTGATCCGGCCACACGCCATACTGGCACTCTTTGCATATCGCGACTCGATACTCGACCAAATGAACAAAATACTCGCCCGCCATCGCAGTCTAATGTCGAACCTACTCTCACTGCTGATGCCTATGCTATTTTCGATGTCGGACCGGAACGGATTTTTTCTTCTCTTCCCATTTTCTTCCGCGGCGGTCCGCTGCTGTAGCTGCCCCAACTCTGCCGCCCTACCCGGCAAACTTTGTGTGAGCGCTTAATCAGTTATTACAACGACCGATTTACTCCTTGTACGGGTCTACTAACGGATTTGTTACCTTACAGCATTATTCTACATTGGAGCCTCGTTGGGACGGCGGGGATGTGCCGGGCGGCGGAGACTAGGCTACGAGAAAAGCCTACTCCTGCGGCACAGGAGCAAGCATTACCAAAAAAAAAAAAGAAGAAAAGAAAAACTCGTAGTACCCAATCGAACCTACTTTTACTGCCAACGCGGATGCTGTTCGCTAGTATCAGACGCGAATCAATTTCTTCCTCTCTCTATTTTTCTCCCACGGCGGTCCGTCGCTGCCAGCTACCCTGTACGCTCTCAGCGCAACCCTGCCACCCCATCAAAATGCTTATCCTAAACGTACCTTCCTAAAAGCTCCATTCCCTTGACTTCCACTCTCCTCGAGCGGGCGTTTTCGGGCACCCAAGTAAACCCGAAACCCAAGAAAGCTGTGCCATTCCCGACTAATTGCCCGACATTCCATCCTTCTCGCCTCAACATGTCCCGGCGCTTCCTGAATGCCTCTTGCATACACCGTACCTGCAATCCAAGACCCATGAGTTGACTGTTCATCTGCAAGCTTCTTGTCCATTCAATAATCTCTCTTGAACCCGCCGCATCTCAAGTGCTGACGTGAGTTTGCGATGGCAATATGTCTGTACGTCATAACGTTCAGCTTTACGCCCAGGTAAGCACTTATCTCCCTGGCCAGAACCGCTCCCAGCTTGCTGCTATCCCAGCCTCCAGCCCCCTTTGGCCACAGGAACGACGACGAATTTTCCAAGCGTTTGAAAGCCAAGGTTTCAAGTTTCTGCCAGAACGGGAGAATTAGCCAAAGGTAGTACACCAGTAACTCGCTAACCTCTCGCGGTAAGTATCGGTGGATGATCTTTGTCGATCCAGTGACGTTGTATCCCTTATGATAAGAGGTAACAGTGCCGAGGAGCCCGTTCTCAATGACAATACTCCGGTGGTGGCCCTGCCGAGTGTTTGAATGCTGTAAGCTCACCAATTCGGTACCACGTGCGGGCTGCCCGGATGTCAGATGGACCAGAAGCAGTAGACGCTCGAGGAAGTAGTCGACCTTGATCAGGTACTGGCTCACGGCTGGTTTCATCCAGCGCAGCTCCCTCTTCTTTCCAAGACGCACGAACTCGTCCCGTAGCCAGTCATTGTCGAGGACGCGGTTCATTAGCCAGCTGTCGCTTCCGCCAGGCAGGCCAAACTCCGCAGCATTTTTGGGATCCTGCAGGAAGCTCCACCTATTTTGACTGTTACTGTGGTCATCTTGAAGGCGATGCAGGTGGAAAGTGGGCACGATCTCCTCGTGGTTCTCCTCGGGGTGGACCAGAAGCAGGCCCCGCAGTTCTTGTTGGGCTTGACGCACCTGGTCACTGACGAACGATTCCAAACGCTCCATGCTGAGAGTCGCCTGCTTCTAGGTGACTGTGTCGTAACCCTCGGACCAGATGATGTAGCCAGTAACAGTGGTGTTGCTGACGACCTTCTTTGCGTAGGCGCGAAGCTGGCATGCCCAATCGAAAGCCGAGCGAGATCCTCGGACCATAAAACGCTGTCTCATCTCATCAAGCAGATCGGATGGGTACTCGATAGCCCCTTCGTCTGCGGCGAGTATATCGCGCTCAATTACGAGCATCTGTGCAATCTTGATGAATTTAGACAGCTGGGGCGAGTACGCAAGCGGCCCGTGGAAGCCACAGTCCTTCTTGTCGTCAATACCGAGAACGGCGAGGAAGCTAAGCACTGGGCTTTCAAAATGGCTACCTCTGATGTTTTGGTCCAGGAGGAAGATGCAGCGAAGAAGACGCCCTATCTAGAGCGGCTTCTGTCTGCTTTTGAGCATTGGGCTCTTCCAAGGAAGCACCGCTGCTATCGCTGTCTGAGATGAGAGTCTGCAGGTCACTTAATACTGATAGCGCAGCCTCAATGTGAGATAGCTGAGAAGGAGTGAACCGATGTGCAAGCTGAATTGGCTGGTCTACCCGGCTCGTCCGGCAAGCAAAGCAGAGAAGGCGCTTCCACAGATGCTTATAGTTCCGAAAAGTGTTTTTTTGAAGCTTGACCATAAGAAGCCGTTCTGTGCCCGAGGGCTCGCCAGCTATGAAGCTGTTGATGCGTGCCTGGTCAAACACGCTAATCTTGTCCTGGCAGATGGACTGGTATGCCCGCTCAACTAGCCGGTCTAGGCTCTTGGAAATTATAGCTAGCAACGGCTCTTCCGTGGGATCAGCCGCGTAGGCAAGAGTGGAGATCTTGGAGAGGTTAAGACCATGGAAAAAAGACGGCCAGCGGCTCATCTCCAGCCAAGGCGAGACCTCCGTCTTGGTAGCCTCGTCGTGGTAGACATGGCGTGTGTCAGAGATTCTACGATCGCGGTCCTGGAGGTCTCTCTCGACAAGCTTTCTAATTAGGTCACCCTCTTGGCTGGCGGCTAATGGGCCGGTGTTCTTCTCCTTCTCTTCCTCCTCTTCTCCTTCCTCATCACTGCCATCTACCTGGTCAACCTGGAAGTACTGCGAGCCGTAGCTATGTGTAAAAAGCCTCTGGCATTAGACTTCTTTTCTTGCAGTCTGCAGACGGGTCTGAAGTAGTTCTTGTTTTTGTTTACCAGACCCACCCTGCGTACCTAGTGTCCAACGGTGCACCTTGTTCCAATGTCCCTTTAAAACCTTGATGTCTCGACAGATGTAGTGGCACTTTGAAGAATCCAGCTGACACAACAATCCGTCTTTATACAACGGCAAATGCGGAACTGGTTGGCTAACCCGACTAGGAATGTAGACCTCGGACACATCTTTGGCAGCATCCGTCCATTGGTGCTCTACGTCGGCCAGGGCAGCAGCCGTCTCTTTTGAAGGTAATTCGTGGTGCCTGCCTCGCAGATGGGTCCTGATTTGGTTCAGACAGACGGCGTGCTTGCAGTGTTTGCATACGGGTAAATGGTACTCGGGAAGGTAGTCGAAGTAGCTGTTCGGCGGGGCCATGGCTTGTCCTGAGCGACAGAGGACGTAGTAGGTAAAGAAGTAGAAATAAGCCGGCTCGTGAAAACGCGCTGTTAGTAGTTCTCGCACGCAGAATTTTATGCGCTCTTAGCGCGTTAAGATAACATTTAGCTGTAGATTATTTCTTTTCTGTCTATTCTGTATTTGGAGCGCTTTCGCGAAAGATTAGCAGGAACGGAAGAATGCGCGGCAGAGTTTTCAATTCAAGATAAAAGAGGCGGTGAGGCGGCGGGTAGGTAGAGGGAGTAATGGGCGGCAGAATCTTGGTGAGGCGAGGAGGCGGTAAGGCGCAGGAAGGCTCATACCAAAGCGGAAAGAACCCTGTAGAGTGGATTGGAGCATATATCTTAGGGTGGTTAACGAATGCAAGCACATCTGATTTGTGACTGGGGCTGCGATGTGTTCTGCTTTCAGAATTTGCTCAAGGCTGAGTACAATATCCAGCTTCCCTGATTCCCGCCACCAATTTTTCATGGGCGCTTCTCTTCTCGCCCTGCCTTGCATCCCGCTCCCAACACAGTGGTTTCCGACGAAAAGTTATCATGCCATCAAAAGCGAATCCTTCTACCAACGTGAAAGGGCTTAGTTCCACTCTTACTACCAATTAATGCTGATCTGTAGAGCTGGCGAAAGACAAGCGCAGCTGAAAAGACTTTTCAAGCAGCTTCCTAACGTTCGCGCTTACGTCAACGTAAGATCTCACAAAATCCAGTAGCCGCTGCTCCATTGAAGCCCTTTCCAAATCCAGAGCATCCGCATGCTCTAGAACCTTCCGGTAAAAGTCCTTCAGCGCTGCAAGATCGACAGAATTCGCGCAGCCAATGAATCCGTATTGAAACAGTATGCAATCCGGAGCAACAGTTGCATTGTCGTCGTTCAGGAAGGCCTGCAAGCTCCAGACGTTTGGCAATGGCTCACCAGCCTTGCGGCCCAGCACAGAGTCCAGATGGGGGAAATTTTCTCTCTCGGACCTCAACCCTCTGGCGTCCATCAGCTGGATCAGGCGGCCATCGCGAAACGCTTTCCAGAACTCCGTGAAGGTACACAGCGGAGGGCTCGATGTAAGATTCATTTTGTTCCGCACCACTGACAACCACTGGTCGCGAAGAGTGGTGCCGAATAGAAGCTGTACATAAAGAGCAGCAAGATGCCGCTCCATATACATGCTACGACAGACGCAGAAGCCGAAATCAAAGTACATTAAGAGGTCGGGACTTGGATGAGAGCTTTGCCCGAGAATGGCGAAGAATATAAGGGCATCTCGCTTGCTCTGAGGTTCGAACTGCTCTAGGGACTTCCCCCGGTCTTGAGGTTCCAGGTACATGCTCACGTTGTCCAGGTATTTCTGACGTAGGTCTTCTCTCGATGACGATTGAGATCCGAAAATTCTATGATGGTTCTCCATGAACCAGGGAAAGTAGCCGCCTCGGGCTTCCTCTGGGATCTTCGAGAAGGTTTCCTGAATACGGTCGACCAGACACCCGGATTGCTGCCACTCATGGACTTCTTCGGGGGAAATGTGGTGGTAGTTAAAAAGACCCTGGTAGAGACCCAGAAGCTTGGACCAGTCCGGCGTCATGAGGTTGTTGAAACCGAAGTCGCTCAGGACGTCTGGATCTTCTGGAAACCTGCCGCCGATAACATCTAGAACAAGGTAGTCTGCCGTGGTGAGAGGGCGGCCTAGATTGCACTTGAAAGAATGATGTGGGCCCCTCTTGGCCTCGCATCTTTCAGAGCAGAAAAAGTCCCTCCCGCATTTACCGCAATGCCGAGAAGTCACTCTGCCACAACCGTGGCACTCATCTTCCGCAAGTCTCTCCCTTATTGGGTGGTCAAAGCTGGCTTCTCTACCATGATCCAGGCCCGAATAGTCCTCATCTCCGTCTGTTGTTTGCTGGGGTAGGAAAAGCCCTGCCAGTTGCTGTTGCCGAATCTCCTCGTCTCGATTTCTCAGGAACCTCTGCACCGTAGGGTCATTGAGAAAGTCGGGCTGATGAAAGTGGCCGGAAGTACTGTAAGCTTCTGTCAAGCCAATGGTGGACTCCGCTTTGAAATTCTTGCCCTTGGCAATCGGCAAGAGCAACTGCTTTTTCATGCTTTCCTCGATGGTTTCAATGGTTTTCCATATCTTTTCCTCGCTATCTGGGCGAAAGCCTGCGGTGTCTGGAATGAACCATGCGGACCATGGCCGCCCGTGACACCCACGACTCCCAAAACCCCCAGAAACAGATAGGAATTGGCCACAAAGGAAGCAGTTCAACTTGCTACTTCCAATGTATGCCAAGTGGTCATAAATGTTGTGTTTCTGCAAATGAAATGCCAGTTGGATTTCAGCATGGATGCCTCCTTTCTGCGCTTGAAGCTTGTTAAAATCCTTCACTGCTTGTTGCTGCGTGTACCTTTTCCGATTGATGTACATCTTCAAAGTCTTGTCGTCCAGAGGTAAGCCGAGAAGGCCGAACGTATCACCAAGGCTGAGCCGGCGACCTGGAAGCTTGATAGGCTGCGGTATATCGACTGGGCTTATCCGCACTTCGTATTCATGCCACACGGTTGATAGCACCGTGATGAAAGTCTCGTAGGCCGCCCGCACGCGACCCAGAAAGCACAGTTCCGTATGGATTCTTTCTGCCAGTTTCGGGTCTGCCAGAAGGGCCACCAGGTCTTCCTTGGACCTGGCTAGCTTCCGCACTTGGAAGGCCATGCGCACAAGCCGATCCAACCTTTCGTCTTCGCTGCCTTTGCTCGAGCTCGGGGCGCGGTCGGTCAATTCAACGGCAATCTGCTGGAGAACACTGCATAACTCAGAGTCTGCGCTCTGGGCTTTCGAGAGTGCATTGTTGATCACTCTTCGGTTGCTTTGAAAGAGCCGCAAGACCTCCTTGCGGTAGGCTACGGCACGTGGTTTGGAATACAAGAGCATTGTGTTCCAAAGGCTGTGCGTAACACTCTCCAGATCTGACTCTCAACGATAAGCACACCATGACGTACGTAGCACGCTGCGGAATTCCCACCTGCTCCGCCCTTTGCAATGGCGGTCCATTTTTTCTCAATGGTCGTCAACAGCTCACGATCCTCGGCGCGGAAAGCCGAATTCCGAGCCACCCAGATTTCCACGGACTCCTCCTTTTCGCTCTCTCGTAACACAGCAGCAGCGACAAATCGACCACCTTTTTCTACTGCCAATATTTCCGACAATCGGTCGAGGAACCGCCTAAGGATGCTTTCATCGCCGAAAGAGGAGAGGAGCCCAGGACACACTGTTGAATTCGATGCCTCAGTCTCGCTTTCGCAAACGTATTCTGCATCTTCCGAATCGTCGAACGAAGGTGGGTCGATGGCCCCGTCGTTGCGGAGAGACAGCAAATGCGCCAAGGCTGTAAACTCGGCAAGTTTGTTGGACTTTGTTTCATCCATGGACGAAATGTAGGAACTCGCCAATGATGCGCAATTGATGATGGGCTGAAAAGCGTAAACGTGTATCTTTTAAACGTAAACTCACGCGGTAGATGACTCTTGAGATGCGGGGTTGGGGCTGAAACGATGTGGCGAAGTCTTATTGGCCAGACTTGCATTACGGCGTAGTCCTAAAAGGTAGACGAAAAGGGAATGATGCGGACTCCCGACTACAAGATTATTCATAAGTAGTGTATAAAAATGTTAGTACTAACAATAGCAAGTAGGCTCTACGTATTACCTTTTACCAGATAGTTACCCACTCGTCCTTAAGGTAAACCCTTCGGTTACCCGACTCCTACCCGACGACTCTAAAGTCGTGTAGAAGAAGGCACTCCGTTACATCGGGTACGTGTGATCTCCGAGCGGCGCTTGCCTACCGGTCGCCCCTCCTTGTGCTTGTGGATTCTCCTTCGAGCGGACTGCGTTCGTAACACCGGTCTTAAGCCTTCGAAGATTCTCGTACTCTACAATACTATAGTCTCCATTCTTGAGGTTGGAAACTAGGGCATTAACGAGCTGCCGCTTGAGTTTACGCTGAAAATCATATCTTTCATCTACGTCGTCTATTCTTTCTATCTTGTCTATTTAAAATCTTAACTTCTATAAAAGGTGGTAGAGCTAGCTATACAATGCGCTATCCTCTACCCCCGATACCTCCTCAACTCCGGGTCCTACAGCAGCTTCTCCATCGTATTAGCAGCCAGATAAACCTACACATCAACCCTATCATCAGCCCAATGCTTTGTCGACTACCGCTTTACGCCCTCCTTCGACGGCGCCTCCATCAACTACACGAGCCCATCCAACCTCGGTATCGCCGCATGCACGAGGCGCGGGCCGCCGCTACCACCAACCCCAAACTCCACCTTATATAACCGCGTATGAATCCACGACGTAACGAGCAAATACCTATGTCCCAAAAACGCCTACTATAAGCGCTGGGGACTCTACTCGCGTATCTTCTCCGCGACGTGCCCGGCAACGGCTTTAGGCATAAAAGCCGCAACCGTCTTACAGAGTAGCCGACTGCTAGCCGAGGAAGAAGAAACGACGTCCCGCACAGGCGCCGTCGCAGCGGCGATAACGAGCGGCGAGCCGACGAAGCGGTCTGGCAGCGGCGGGGCGAGGCGCGCGCGCACGCCCAGCGTGTAGTCGAGCGTTACGGCTTCGTCACTGGCGGCTTGGCTGCGGGCGCGGGTGACGCAGGACCAGATATGGCCGAGCAGGGCGTTAAGGTGGCTGATACGGGCATCGTCATCACCGCCGGCGTCGTGAGTAGCTGCTGTTGTTGCTGCTTGCCACAGGCGCAGCAGCTCCGGGCCAGGGAAGTGCAGCACCCGGTGGGCGACGGGCGCGGCGAGGTCCCAGTCGGCCCAGGGCATGGGCGTGCCGGGCGGGTCGAGCGGCAGTAGTGGGCCGTCCCGGAGAAGCTCGGCGGGCGGGGAGACGGGCGGGAAGGGGCTGTCGGCGTTGGATATCCACCAGTCGAAGCGATTGCACGGCAAGAGATCAGCCGCGTTGGGCGGTTGCGTCGCGGCGGGGGCGCGGGCATCCAGCAGGCTGGGGTCGAAGAGCGGGCCGGGGGCGGGCAGCGGAAGGCTGCTGCGGGTTGCGGCGGCTCAGTCGCGGACGAAGTGCGCGAGCGCGTGGGCGTCGGCGAGCGGGTGCGCGAGGCGGGCCTCGACGAACACCACACCAGGGTCGTCGGGACGGCCCCAGGTCAGGCCCAAACGACCATGGCGGCGCGTGGCTGCGTCGAAAGGAAGGCAGTGCAGACTGCCGCACCACTGCGGATACCCATCTAGCACGCGCCGCAGCGCCTCGAGTAGGGAAGTTGGCGTCGGGGCGGGCGTATCGTAGGCCAGCACTGTCTCGGTGGGCGTGAAATTGGCGACTGTGGCGTCAAGAATCGACAGCGGTGCCGTGCGCTCCATAAAACAGCCCGACGCCGGAAAGACGTGTGCCGAGTCGACGACGGAGACGGTCATGGCTGGCCGTGAATTTCATGCTCCTGCTTATCAAGCCAGGATTAAATACTACTCAACTCTCAAGCTGATAAGCAATCATTATGAGACAGAATGATGGAGGTTTCACGCGCCTTGGCGGCAAGGCCTCACTTTGTACATCTCTTGCTACTATCCCTGTGGTGCATTGGCGGGGTGATGGATTGTATAGAAGAACGAAAAAGCAAAAGAAGTTCTTGAGTTTGCACTGTCAAGCATTTCAAATAAAACAAAAATAATACAACTAACATCGCAGCGTAAATAGAAAACTCAGTCAATAATCCAGTGCTGGCCCTCGATCGCTTGTACTAGTGTTGAAATCTGTACCTGGATCAAACAAGATGTAGTCGACGGCCGTATCCGCTAAGTTTGAAATAGCTTTCCTCCTTATCTTCAAACTAATTGTCGAATTAGTTAGCCGAAATAATAAAGACACTCTAGTGCGACGAGTTTTTCGGCTTCGGCTTATTTTCTTACCCGATCACGCCTTTTAGATATAGTATTCGGCCCGCTCGCCTGGTATATTTACGGAAATTTAGGCGAATTTTACCGTAGACCAAACGGCTCTATAGACATCCGCGTAGCCGATAGTTCTTTTGTGATTTGTAAGCCATCTTGGCTACTTCTATTCCAACTATTAAAGGATTACCGGGTACGTTTAGCAGTGCAATTACTAAGTCCAATCGTCTTTCTTTCCACTTTTTAAGTTCGGTCAGTCTTCTAGAATATAGATTTTCTCTGCAACGATGGTCAAGGTAGTAGTTGCTGGAGGATCTGGGGGTACGGTCACGTTGTCTTAGAGTCACATACACAGTTTACTTAGATTGATGCAGGTGTCCGTAACATCTACGACGTCTGGGCGCCGAATCATCTGAAGCTTCTGCACAGCGCCATCAACTCGCTGAAGCATACCACCGGCGGCAATGCAGCAAGCCAGGAAGACGATAGGGACCGATCAACTACACCCAGGCCTCCTCAATCGACCAACTCTGGACATTAAAACACTCCTACTGGCAGCGACCCAGCGGACCAGGTTGCCAATATAGGGGGATTAAGCGCGGCCAACAACTCCCAATCTACCGACTCTGAACGACAGAATACCCCTTGCAGCAGTCCGGCGGACGAGATCGACAAGAGAGATGGTTCAGCCACGCCTACGGCCTCACAATCCGCCAACTCAGGAAATCGGCGTCGCAGGAGTCGAATGATGGCAGTGTGAGAAGCAGCAGTAAAAAAGGTCAATCAGAGTACATACAATGCAATATTACCGTCGTCCGAGGCTTATTCATCGTCGAAGAGGTGGAAAACGGGGTAAACTCTTTTTGGCTGTTTTTATTTACTTTCCTGCGTTTTAGTTGTTAGGGTTAGGGGTTCTCGTATTTGTTGCTTCCACTTTCTTCTCCGGGGGGCCCAGAGCAGCAAGCAACTAAGCGGGGCTACGGTAAGAGCTATCTACAGGAACAAGTACTTGACAAGCATTGAAATGGCAGGGCCCGCGGTCGCAGAGTGAGAAGAGTCAAAGTCTCGGTCCTCAGGCTGTACTCGGCTGTCTGGCTTCTGCGGGTCTCGTGCGGGTGGAACCAGATCCTATCCCCGTCGTGGTTGCCCGCCGCCTTCCACTTCCTTTCCACTCCCTTCGCCCCGGCGAGCGCGCTTCCCGAGGTGGTTTCCTCGCATCCACAGTCTGTCGCCTCGTCCCTTCACTCGGACCTGCGTCCAGTCTGCCCCGGTGCGTGGTCCTCCGACCTCGTTCCCGTCTGTCCTCGCCTCAGACTTCGTCTCGAATCCTCTCCCCATTCTCTGGGCTTCCCCTCCATCTTCCGGTTTCCCTCTCCGTCCTTTCGGGCAGGTGGCTCACGCGGTCCCTCCTCCCTACTCGGTCTTCGAGCGTCCCCTTCCGATGTGCCTCCTCTTCCTGTCCCAGAGGTGTGGGCCCGGAGCGGTGCGTCCAGCCTTCAGGTGGATTCCCCAGTCTTCCACGGCCGCCGTGCTCAGGCGTTCCTACGGTCAGTTTCCCAGTGTCGCAGTTCCTCAGCGTCCTGGTCCCCCGGCACTCTGGTTCCCCAGCGTCCCGGTTCCCCAGCGCCCTGGTTCCCAGCGCCCGGTTCCTGCGTCCTGGTTCCCCTCCTCCGGCCGCCGAGCCTCGGTTTCCGTGGTCTTCTGGTTCCTCTCGCCTGTCGTCTTCCCGCCCCCCTTCTCCGGGTCTTGCTTGTCCGTCCGTCGGCCCTCTCCCCCCCGCCTGCTCTCGTTCCCTGTTCCCTGCCACCATGCACCAGCCATTTGGGTGCCGAATGTCCGCAAAAATTTGGGTCCGCCACGCGGGTCGCTGCAAACTCGGGTCACCCAAATTTTACCACCCACCACCACCCACCCAAATTCACGCCCGGAACGGGCTTAATAAACTTAACTTTGTATACGAAAGTCGTAGAGCTCATAAAGCGCTACATTTTTATCTAAAAGTTATCGCAATCTACTGACGTGCGGCCGAGTTATCTAATAAAAACTAATTTTCTTGATCTTGGTAGTTAGACTAAGAAGAGAGAGGGGCGGCTACGAAGTAGTTTTAGCAAGCTCGCGAAAACCGCTCGGCAGCCAGGTGGTAAAAGATAAAAAATAATAAAAAAAAAGATAAAAGAATTAGAAAGAAGAGAAGATAAAAAAAAAGACGATAGAGTTTTCTCGACGTAGATAGATACTTTTCGCGAGTTTACTAAAAGTGTTCTAGTCTAGTAGTAGTATTATATAGTTTCTAAAGGCGGCGTAATTAATTTTAAGCTAGAAGAAGCGTAGTAGATTTAGCGAGATCGTTAAAACTACTCTACTTATCGTTCTTAACTACGATAATCTAAATACTAATTTAGTGTTTAGTCTTCGGTACGGCGTAGAAATTCTACCGAGAAGTAGAATAGATAAGATTTTAGTAGAGACTATCTAAACGATTCTAAAGAGTTAGTAGAAACTAGAGAAAAGAAATACTATATAGTATCTAAAAAAGTTTAAAGAAATTCTCGCATTTTTTATTAGATGACGATTAAAGTACTAACTATAGTATTTAATATATAACGGCCGTAATGACTAGTATTCGAGAAAAAAAATATACTTAGACGGCTATATAGCGTAGTTAATATTAGATTAATGATATTAAAAACTAGTTCGCTAGTAAAGTAGTATCTATTTAGAGCTCTATTTAAGTCTAAATTAACGACGATTACGAAAAGCTAGTTTTCTAGTAAGAGTAGTATATTTTATTTCGTCTTAAAACGGAAAGTAGAATTATATCCTTTAAAAAAGTAATTTTCCGCCCGTTATTGATCAAACTAAATAGTTTGCTTTCTTTTAGCTAATTCTAGATATTCTTTCTTTTTATTTTTCTATTCTCTTTTTTTTTCCATCCGGCTATCTCGTATAAATTTAGAGAGAACTAAACTTTATAGATAGTCGTCGCCGCAACCCTCTAACTTTTAGATACTCTAAAATATAGAATAATTCTAATTAGAAGTCTTTTAAACTACTAAATATTAATTAGAAAGTAACTCTTTCCTACCTAACTACGGCTGCTATCCTCTATATATAGTGTTTAGTGACATCTTAGATAGCGGTAGTAAACCCCGACGCTACGCTCCTCCCCGACGCTTCTACTCTAATCCCCTTCCCGAGTCCCCGCGTAACATTAAAGAGCAAAAAGATAAGAGATTAAAAATAGAGAAGAATTAAATAGTTTTTTTTTAAAAAAAAAAGAAGAAAGTTAAACCACTGTTACGAACCCCAGGGAACACGGGCTTTATGACCCCAAGGGCAGAAAGCCCGCACGGGAAAGTTCGCCGCAAGGGCCAACAAGCCTCGCGGGCGGAAGAGCCGCACGGTCCCAGATCCCGCACGGGAATCTGGAGAATACGGGATGACGGCGCGTACGGGAACACCAGTAGGCAGCAGCCGAAGCCCGTACGGGAAGAACGCCCACGAGGGCGCGACAACTCCAGAAGGAAGCACGGACCAGGGAATCCCCTACGGGACGAAGGACCACGGGGTCAAGCCAAGAGACGAAGGTCTAGACGTATAATCGTCCCGAAGCAGTGCGCGAAGACTGGAAGCCGGAAAGTGGATAAGAAGGGAACGGTCGAGATACAGTACGACATCACGACCGTTCGGAAATCGGAGAATGCCCTAAGCGCCTAAGTCACGTGCAGGACCCACCTGTGCCCTCGACCAAGGGCACAGCCGAATGATGCCCTCCATCAACGGCATCACCAAATGATGCCCTCACCCGGGGGCACACCAGATTGTAACTAGCTTTCCTACAGTATATAGACACACTCGTTAGCTAGACTCTTGACCCTCCGTGGTCAACTCAAAGTTCTAATCAAGACTCTTTGGTTAGAGGTAACCGGCTCACTGTGCATCGCACAATCACGTGATACTCTCTTGTCCAATCATTGTCCTCCCTCTCTTGTCTCTTCAAGGTAAACCCTACGGTTCACCCGACCTGCTAAGTGACTCCGAAGCTTAGTGGAAGGAGCCTACCGTTACAATAAATAGAAAAATAGAAGAAGTAAAGATTAAAAAAATCAGAGATAATAAAAGTCTACGTAAAAATAAAAGAATAGATTTAAAGATAACAGATTAAACTAGACATTTATATAGTAAATAAATGGATAGAATAAGAAGAATAGAAAAATAAAATAAAAGAGATAAAGTATAGAGGATCTAAAAGAGTAGATAATAGAGATGAAGATAAAATAGCTAATAAATAGATATAAAATAGAAAAGAAAACCAAAAAATAATGGAAAAAGAGTAGAAGAGTAAAGATGGAGAAATTTTTATTTAAAGAGAGGTTTAAAATAGCTTTAGACCATATAGTTAGAAAAAAAAGTAGTATACGAGGTAAATATATTTAAATTTCAAAGTTAGGGTTGGCCCAGTTAAGCAAGCCACTAAAGGTAGAGTTAGGGCGCTACCTATCCGCAATGCAGCAACGATTTCGAGTCGAAATCGTTGGTGGCACCGTACAAATCGAAATTAGGGTTAGCAGTTCCGGGGGTCGAAATCATTGGGGTTCCCGGGCGAAAATCCCGGGTGCGACCCGGCGGAAGTTCGAGCGCGCGTCCGGCGACCCCGGATCCGATTCGAACGGGTCGAAGGCCCGTCGTGGTGGTGATAAAGTCGACGGTCGAAGTTCGAGGCGTGGTGATTTTGATGGGGCGCCGGTTTACGCCCGGGCCAGCAGCGGCGTCGCAACCCCCCAGCAGCCCGCACCACCGCGGCCGCCGCCGGGTAAGTTAGGGTCAGCCATTGGCGAATCAGAGCGTGGCGGAGGCGGGCGGAAGCCCAGAAAGTGTGAGGGCGGAGGGCGGGCGGAAACGGAGAGTCGGTGAAGGGCGTTTTAGGTGGTAGATGTTATTCCAGCACCAGTATCAGCACCAGCACCAGCACCAGCACCAGACGATAGACAGCAGATAGTCATCCGTCCATTCATCCATTTTGCCCATCCACCCACGAGCCAGCCAGTTAAAACCGGTCGAAGCCAGCGCAGCGATGGAGCCGTTCAGGTACGTCCCGGAGTTTAGGGTTACCGTTTGCAAAGATTGCAGGTTTGCCGTATTACCCGCCCAGGTAGACGCGCATTTAAGAGGGCCCAAGCACGGAATAGACAGCGCCAGCCGGAAGAGAATTGTAGAAAACGTAGGTAAGATCGACGGGGCGATCCGCACGGAGAGGCAGTTAAAAGCCGAGTTTATCAAGCCGGGGCAGCCGGTGCAGCCGATCCGACATTTGCCAGTATACGAAGATGGGTTTGCGTGCGAGTGGGAGGTGGGAGAAGATATAAAGTGCGGGTATATTGCGCGAACGGTTGAGAGAATCAAGGCACATTGTCGGATCCAGCATGAATGGGTTAACAGCCAGCGTAGAGGAGGGTCATTGGCGCAGCGCCGCCGGGCCAGCGAGGCGCCGAGGCCGTGGCGGACAGGCGTGCGTTGCCAGAGGTTTTTCAACCACGGCCCCAGGCAGGAGTATTTCGAGGTGTTAGCGGAGGGCCAGCAGCAGGAGCAGGGGACGGCAGCGCCGACGTCGGCCAGCCAACGCATCCGCCAGCAAGTCGAGGTAGGGTTGCAGCAGAAGGAGCAGCGGCGCAAGGCGATAGTACAGCCGTAGGAGAAGTTAGAGGCCAACCCGTGGTTGCGCCGGGTCGGGTGGGCGGAGCATTTAGCCGGGTTCGCCATGGAGGATTTGCGCCGACACGCGGAGTTGCCGGCAGAGGAGCAGCAGCGGAGGCAGCAGGAGCAAGGGGAGGAGGACAGGCGGAGAGGTGGGAGCAGGGCGGAGAGCAGCAGCCGAGTCGAGCAGGACAGGCGGCGGAGGCAGCAGACCCAGGCGGAGATTTTGGCCATCATATGCAACAGTTTCAGCCGGATGGTCGACAAGGCGCAAGCGACGGTCCAGGCGGCGGTCAACATCGAGGTCAGGTTCGAGATGGCCCGCAAGGAGAGCAACACCAAGCCGGGGTACCCGTTCGAGGCGCGCATGGGCGAGGACACCAAGCAGCGGTACAAGCAGGCATGGCAGCGGGTCATCGGGTACGTTTTCCGCACGCACGCCATGGCGGCAGTCGACAGGCAGCAGCAGCAGAAGCAGCAGCGGCGGCGGCGGCGGCGGCGGCAGCAGTAGCAGCACCAGCACCAGCACCAGCACCAGCAGCACAACCACCAGCCAGAAACAAGGCCGCCATATGAGTTAACAGCAGAGCAAGGCAGAGCATTGTGGGATTTCATCGAGGAAGCCCGGTTGGAATGGGCAGAGGGTGAAGCAGCAGAAACAGTAGTCCCAGTGGATGAGAATGTCGAGAATGAGAATGAGGAAGAGGAGGTTGAATTCGAGTTTGAAGAGGAGGGCGAGACCAGCAGAGATGGGTTGGGGGATATCGTCAGTGAAGGAGGCAGTGATGAGGGCAGTGATGAGGGCAGTGATGAGGGCAGTGATGAGGGCAGTGATGAGGGCAGTGATGAGGAGGAGGACGAAAACGAGTTGAGTTTGTTGGAGCGCAAGTGTTTGGCGTTTTGCATCAGTTTGTTGGACCACCAGACCGAGGATGACAGCCACGCCAACGCGTTGATCAGCGGATTGGCCGTGTTAGGAATTAGTGAGGAGGGGAAAGAGTGGCAGAGCCCATTGGTGTACACGCCCAGGTTGTCGGCAGTCATCAAGTTGGCGCGCATCATGGTGGTGCAGAGCGCGTGGCAGGCGGCCAGGGACAGCGGAGACGGCAGGATTTGGCGGCGGGTGCGCGAGATGGTCAACAGGTTCATGGTTAGGGACGAGCCGACGCCGATGAGTTGGATGTACGACGCCAGGACGTACGGGATGAAGATCAGGTACACGACCACGGCGCCGGGCGCGGTGCGGTGGACGGGGCCAGGCGGCGAGACGTTGGTGTACCGGGACGTCGAGTTCAGCATGGACGGTTTCCGGGCGTGGGTGCACGGGTTGGCGGGCGATTGCCGGCAGCGGTTGGTGGAGGAGGTGATGCAGGTGTCGGCCGGCCAGGAGCGGACGGGAGAGTTGCCAGCCATCAGATGGGACCAGTTGCGCGACAACCCGAGCGTGACGGAGCCCGGGTGGTTTTTCATCAAGGACCCGCGGAATCAGCAGCCGTTGGAGGACGAGGCGGATGGCCAGTGGTGGTTGTACGAGCGGTTGGTTACAGGGCAGGAGCGAGGGCAGCAGCGGAGGTGGCAGTTCATCGCCAACCCGCACGAGGACCCGGCACAGCACCCGGCCAGGTGGAACCGGCAAGCCATCGACGCGTTTAGACGGACGGTCGGCCGGTTTAAGGAGCAGTTAGCCGTGTTGATGCACATCACAGGCGGCGGGCCGGCGCGGGTGCCCGAGTTGATGAGCATCCGGTATTGCAACACGGCCAACGGCGGGCAGCGCAACGTGTTCGTCGAGGACGGGTTGATGGTGTACGTGACGCGGTACCACAAGGGGCACGGCCGAGATGGCAGTTTGAAGATCATCCACCGGTATTTGCCACGGGAAGTAGGCGAGTTGTTGATGTATTACGTGTGGATGGTCGTCCCGTTCGAGCGGTTGTTGGCGTACGCGGCGGATGGGAGGGACAGGCCACCGGAAGAGCACGGATTCGTTTGGAGCACGGAGGGACCGGCAGCAGCCAAGTGGACGGCCAGCCGGTTCCGCAACGCGTTGAAGCGGGAGAGCAAGATGCGGATGGGGGTAGAGATCAACGTGGCCACGTACCGGCAGTGCGTCCAGGCGATCGGAAACAAGTTCATCAAGGGGGATTGTTTTTTCGACGCGGATGAAGCAGGGGAGGATACGGAGGGCGGAGGAGGCGACGGCGACGCAGAGGGTCAAAGCCACACGTGGGACATGCAGTTCGGACACAGCACGCGCATGGCAGGCGCAGTGTACGGCCGGTTGATGATCGAGGCGGCCCAGGAGTTGAAGACGACGATGGAGAGGTACAGGGCAGCCAGCGTCCGGTTCCACCAGTTCCAGCAGCACGCGTCCACGTTACAGCAATTACGGCAAGGCGGTAAGAAGCGGTCAGCGGCGGCAATCGCGGAGGACATGGACGCAAATTTCAGGCGTTGGAAGAAGGTAAAGACGGTGGACAGGCGGCAGATGTTGCGGCAGTTGACAGGCCAGAAGGACGCCGAGTTCAGAGGGGTGCAGGAGCAGGCGGTAGAGGCGGTAGTAGAAGGCCGCAGCCCGTTGTTGGTGGTGATGGGGACAGGCGCAGGCAAGAGCATGGCATTTATGATCCCGGCGTTGTGCACGGCCAGCGTGGGCGAGACGGGGACGACGGTGGTGGTGGTACCGTTGAATTCGTTGCGGGAGAACATGGTGGACAGATGCCGCAAGGCAGGCATTTCGGCAGTCGAGTGGGACAGGCAGCGGCCGAGCGAGGCGTCCATCGTGTTCGTCACGCCAGAGTCGGCGGTCAGCAAGGCGTTCAGCGGGTTTTTAGACCGGTTGAAGAGCAGGCAGCGTTTGGACCGGATCGTCATCGACGAGTGCCACACGGTGTTGGACGGACGAGGCAGTTTCAGGCCGAAGTTGCAGGAGTTGGGCAAGTTGGTAGAGGCCAAGGCGCAGTTGGTCATGTTGACGGCAACGTTGCCCCCGGCGGAGGAGGGGCGGTTGTTCGAGATCATGCGGGTGAAGAAAGAGGAGGTAACGAGGTTACGGGCAGCAACGGTGCGTAAAAACGTGCGGTACCGGGTGCAGCAGGCGGAGGGGATAAAGAAGCAGGCGGATTTGATTGCGGCAGTCGTCCAGGAGGTACGGCGGTTGCAGGGTCGATTCGGGATTCGAGAAGCAGGCGAGGGCGAGGGTGAGGGTCAGGGCGAGGGTGAGGGCGAGGGTGAGGGCGAGGGTGAGGGTCAGGACGAGGGTGAGGGCGAGGGTGAGGGCGAGGGTGAGGGCGAGGGTGAGGGCGAGGGCGAGGGTGAGGGTCAGGGTGAGGGTGAGAGAAGCGGTAGGATTGTGGTGTACAGCAACAGCACCAGACGAACGGAGCAGTTGGCGCAGGCATTGGGATGCAACGCATACCATGGGAAGCAGGCGGACAAGCAGCAAAAGTCGAGGAATTTGGCGTATTGGGCATACGGTAATTGCCGGTTGATTGTGGCAACAAATGCATTGGGGTTGGGCATCGATGTGCCAGACATTTTGGCAGTTGTTCACGCGGAGAGGCCAGCCAGTTTGGTTGAATACGGGCAGGAGAGTGGCAGGGCAGGGCGCGGAGGACAGACCAGCGAGGCAGTGATTGTGGACAGTGGTAAAAGGTGGACGAGAGCAGTGACGGAGAATGACGCGGGCAATGAGCAGGCAGGAAAGGAGATGGACAAGTTCATGAGCGGACAGCATTGCAGGCGAGCAGTGTTGGACGGGTACATGGATGGTGACAGGGTTAGGGTGAGGTGTGTTGAGGGTGAGGGGGAAGTGATGTGCGATGTTTGCGAGGCAGATTCGGCAGCAGAGCAGGGAGGGGAGCAAGGAGGGCAGCAGGAGGAGCAGCAGGAGGAGCAGCAGCAGCCATCGACAACAGAAAGAGCAAGGAGCACAGGCAGAAGCAAAGGCAGAAGCAAAGGTAGAAGTAAAGGCAGAAGCAGCAGCAGAAGCAACAGCGGAAGCAACAGCAGGAGCCGTAGTAGAAGGAGCAGCAGCAGCACAGAGACAGGAATCAGGACAATTAAGGGTCAGTTAAGTCAATGGAAGGACAGGTGTACAATTTGTGTGGCAGAGGGTCAGCCATCAGACCACGCATTAGAGCAGTGCCAGGCAGAGTCAAGCATAGCAGCGCAGGGTATAAAGGTAGAGTTAGAGAGGCAGTTAGGTTTGGTAGCACATTCAGGTTGTTATAGTTGTAGGGTACCACGCGAGGTTTGCAACAGATGGGTTAGGGATGAAAGAGTAGAGAGGAAGTTCAAGCAGAGGGTAGAGGTCCAGCAGTGCGAATACGCAGGCGTATTGGTGGCAACAGTGGTAGGGATTGCATATGCGGTACAAAGGGTCGGAGACGAATGGATTAGGCGGTTAGAGAGGCGGAAAGTAGGCGGTGTTCAGAAGGGACGGTTTAAGGAGTTGGCGGAGTATTTGAAGAGGCCGCGGGTAATAGATGGATGCGAGAGCAACAATTTAGTTTGGGAGTTTATATGGATGACACAGAGGGCAGAAGGGTTGTTAGAGTAAGAGGTGGAGGAATAGAGAGAAGAAGAGTAACAGCAGCAGTAAGAGTAGTAAGAATCGAGACAGTAGTAGAGGCAGCAGCAGCAGCAGTAAGAAACAAGATAGTAGTAAAAACAGCATTTATAGCAATAGCAACAGCAATAGTAACAGCAGCAGAAGTAGTAGTAGTAGTTATAGTAGCCGTTACAGCAGTAGTAGCAATATAGAAAGTAGTAGCCGAAGTAGTAGTCGGAGTAGTAGTCGGAGTAGTAGTCGGAGTAGTAGTAGTAGTAGTAGTAGTAGTAGTAGTAGTAGAAGTAGTAGTAGTAGAAGTAGTAGTTAAAGAGATAGTAGAAGAGATAGTAGAGATAGTAAAGGTAGTAGACGTAGTAGACGCGGGAGATATAGAAGACGTAGAAGCCGTAGAAGACGTAGTAGACGGAGTTATAGTAGTAGTAGTAGACGGAAAAGTAGACGAAGTATTAGATAAGAGTAAAGATAAGAATAAGAGTAAGGGTAAGGGTAATAAAAGTAGTAGAATTAGGGTATATAGTAATAGGATAAGATAAATAGAGAAAGTAGTAGTAGTAGTAGTAGTAGTAGTAGTAGTAGTAGTAGTAGTAGTAGTAGTAAGAGATATAGTAATAGAAGTATTAGAAGAAGAAGACGTAGTAGACGTAGAAAACGTATAGAACGTTAAAGAAGTAGTAGTAGCGGTAGTAGTAGTAGTAGTAGCGATAATAGTAATAGAGAGAGTAGTAGATAAAGTAGTAGTAATAGTAAATAAATAGTAGACGAGATAATAGTAATAATAGTATATAATAAAAAAAATATTAAATATAAAAGTAAAAAGTATAGTAAAAAATATAGTAGTAAGTATAGTAGCGAAGAATATAATAAAAAAAAGAGTAGTAGTAGTAGTAGTAGTAGTAGTAAGAGAAAGAAAGATAAAGAGAATAAGAGAGAGAGTAAGAGTGAGGATGAGGGTGAGGGTGAGGGTGAGGGTGAGGGTGAGGGTAAGAATAAAGTAAGGGTGAGGATAAGAGTAAGAGTAAAGATAAGAAAAAGAATAAGAATAAGAATAAGAATAAGAGTAAGAGTAAGAAAGAGAGTAAGAGTAAGAGAGTAACCTCCCCCCCGGTGTGGCGAAAAGCCCTGTGTGCCGAAAAAAGCCCGAGGTACTTCGAGTTTGCAGCAACTGCATAGGCGTATCTACGTAGAAATTCCTATAAAACCATGCTAGGCATATTCTACAGCCATTCAGTCTGCTTGGGAAGTGTTTCAAGTTTAATATTACATAGGCGTGGCTGTTCCCTTGCCTGATTTCTACAGAATGAGTCTTGATGCCGCGAACGATATTGCTCTACTATAGCACCACCAATGCTTTTTTCCACCAGATAAGCTAGTTACAGAGGCGCATATACTCCCCGATGCTAAACCACGTACTAGAATGCTATTAGCAACAGGGTACGTGGTGTAGCAGAAGAGTCCGCCACGCAGGGCGGTACTTGTCAGCGCAGCTTTGGCCAGTCTCGGCTAGCCGCGATGCGCTGAGCAGTCGTTACTAAGTACGAAAACTACGGGTAAAGCAAGATCAGCCTGTTTTCATACCGTTGCGAATGAAAACAGCAGCCGAGTTTACGACCTGCTCGCTTCTAGCGCACGGTCCACGTTGCAACAGCCCTACTAGATTGTTACCAAGCTAATGCCGGTACGTTACAGGGGTATATTAAGGTGTTTAGTTCTCGTCGCTACACGCATCATTTGATCTGTTATATACAGCATAAAGGAAAGACGCTGAGAAAACAAGACGTTACTAAAAAGCAGATAGATATTAAAAAGTGCTATCTCGGTTACGAGGCTTTTCTACGGAATCTTTCCTTTAGACGCATGATGATTGAGCTTTTCTTATTTCCCTGCCTGCTGCTCGCTGATCCGGATCGGGGTTCAGGACAGACGACGTCACTAACGGGGGTCCTATCGTCGTGAACTGGTTCCTGGCTTTGCTTGAGCCTAGCTTGTGTTGCTTCTTGCTGCATGGCTGAGAAGTGATTGAGACAGGCCGTAGTTGTTGGGTGCTCAGAACCGAGTGCCTGCTCGAAGCCGCCGTATGCTCGTTTGTATAGCTCGCTTGCTTCTTCGTATCGGCTCTGTTTATGTAAAAGATATGCGAGGTTGTAGACAGAGATGAGCGTGTCGGGGTGCTCTTTCCCCAGCACCTTCTCGTAAAGTATTAGCACCTCCCGATGCATCTCCTCCGCCTCACCGTACTTCCCCTGGTTCCCCAGCGCCTGTGC